TTTATCACCTAGCTTTCTGCTTCACAACACCTGTTATAAGGTTCCATTCCGGGTGACTCTTACAAGTTTCCAAAGATCAAATCCACACAGGACAAGAGTTTTCACCACTGAGAATATGCAGAGGAATGTAGGACAATTTTCAGAGTAATTCACAAGAAGTATTCAAATGTTTAATGCAATGGCACATTGTTGAAAAATACGCATTCGGATATATAAATCCCATGTGCTTGTTAAAGTTATAGGCACAGTGTATGAGCTTCCATTTGTAATCTTGAAAAGAGATATTCATGAGAGGAAAGGCAATCAGAAAGAGGGAGGATTAGTAATGTTATAAAACTTCATGAATATACTAAAACCACTGAACTGTACACTTTAATGGTTCAATTTTATGGTATGTAACATATATCTGAATAAAACTGTTATTTTTTTTAAGAGGGGAGATTGTAAACTAGAAGAGTGACTTGGAAGAGGGAGTGATTTTAACTTAGTGAGATGAGACAGATTCTAAGGATACTGTGCAGTTCAAGGAGATTCTAAGAAGGTGTTACTGAGAATCGACACCATAAGAGCCAGATTTGAGACAAGCATGGAAGGAAAAATGTGAGGCCTAAAGAGCAATCAGTGAGGAGGAAACCCAGCTTGAGAAGACAAAACAAGCAGAGAGAGAATGAGTGAGGGGGCATGTGCCAGTCACAGAGCACGAATGCAAGAGAACCTCCGACTAAGTAATCCCACTCTGCCTTCGGGGTGCGCTGGTCTAAATGCTGAAGACACCTCGGATAGGCCTGGCAAGGGGTTAAATAGCTCATCTAAACTGGCTGCTTCAGCAACGTGTATTTGGGATTTGCAGAAAATTTTACTTTCTGCCAATTTTATGGAAAAATAGTTTTTAAGTATGTCACTTGAAAATTGCCAGTGAAATTAATAGTCTTATATATCCTTTATTCTGTTTCTCTTTCTCTCATCTGTGTTACTTTTACTAATGTTTCTCCTTGTCTCAAGTTTCTATCCTTCCTTGCCCAGCTACCATTGCTTCTCCCCTCATTCTTAGATCTCTGGAAAAGTTCCTGCTGCTTCCTGAATTCAACCATTCAAGTCCTTCATAAATATTTCTTGAATGAATACTTGGTGATAGATACGATGAGATTCCTGGATCCCTGCTCACAATGAGCTTACAGTCTAGTAAGCACTCTTACCCACTGGCCTTTTCCATCTCCCTCTCTTTCTTCCCTGTATCTCTCCCTCGCCAGTCTCTTTTACTCTTCTCTCCCCACTGTCACTCCTTAAAGTCTGGGCTAGAGCCTCATGAGTGAAATAAGTTAAAGCAATACTATGTGAACCATCTAACTGAAGAGGATGTGCCACTGCTGGGATGAGAACCACACAGTGGGTGGAATTGAAGGCCTGAGTCACAATGCTTGGGTTCAGACTGTCTCCTTGCTAGGTGTATGACTGCTGTGTGTGTGTGTGTGTGCATGCACGCACATGCAGCGGGGGTGGGTGTCCGAACCTATCTAAGCCTGTTTCCTCATTTATAAAATAAGTTTTAAGGGTAATTGAATTAATATATGTAAAGTGCTGGGCAAATGCCCAGTATATTAAATTCTTAATAAATGTTGCTTATTAGATGGTGTCAGTATAAGGACAATTAGTTTGGTTACTGATTTCCTTTATTCCATTATTAGACTCCAAGCAAAGGCTACCAAGAAACCTCACGAAGTGAAACAGGACTTTGAGAAGTTTCTACATGAACTGGTATGTTTTCTTTCTGAAAATAATTGAGAATTCTCTCTCTAGCTTCTTTTATATAGACTGGACAATATTTCATAAGAATGTATGCTGGCACATACAAATTACAGTGGCAGAAGAGGATACATTCTTGTCATTTAATCATCCACATGCACATGTAAGAAAATCTCTGTTTTACATATTGAGTGACAACTCACATTCACGTTCCCCATTTCCAGCTTCTGACCAGGAACGGTTTATGTAACTGAAAAGCTCCAAATGCAGTTAGAATTACAAACTAATAATCACTGATGTTTGAAGCTGTATTTTGTTTTTCATTAATAATTCAACAAAATCATATTGGGTACCAACAGCTGTGTTAGATGGATGGACCCTGCCCTCAATTAATGGAAACACAAGGCAGAATATCATAAGGTTCTAAATAGGACTCAAGTATGAGAAAGAAAGGAAAGAAAGGAGCCTGTTCCATCTTTCTGATTTTCCTTGTCATCTTCTCTTTCGCTTCTCTTTACCTATGGGCAGTCTTGTTAAGTCTGAAGGGCCTCTTCCCTCCCAACAGACAAGAAAATATAGAGACTAGTGTACAATATGTCTGAAGGTTGGACAACTGGAGGTCAGGAATAGAGGAGAGCCTTTTATTTTCAGCATGTCAAGGCTTCCACTCAAAAATCTAGAGCAATCCCATTGGCTGCTAGTATAATGTCAAAAATGGGTCAAATCAAATTCCTACATGGGTCAGAAAAGTGAGAAAGTGGTGAAACACCTGGGTGTTGTATAATATACAAACAGGACAGTATAATAAGCAAACAGGACTATTCTTTTTATTTTTTTGTTGAAACAGGGTCTCACTCTGTCACCTGTCACCCAGGCTGGAGTGCAGTGCTGCAGCCTTGAGGTCCTCAGCTCAAGTGATCCTCCTGTCTCAGCCTCCCAAGTAGCTGGGACAGCAGGCACATGCCACCACTCCCAGCTAAAGACTATTTTTTACATCCACACACGAAAATATTCATTCTTCTTTTTTTTTTTTTTTTTTTTTTTTTTTGGTCTATCTTCCCTACTATTGATAGAGACATGGGCACAGAGAAATACCTAATTAGAATAGGAAAACAACAGTGCAAGTGTGCTGATAAAGGGCAAGTGACCCCAGCTGGTAAGTGGTAAATGATTTGAGTGTCAGGGAAATTATTATACAAGCAGTTGTGGAAACTGTAGCGCACTGGAAAGCCGTGCCTCATCTAACAAGACAGCTACTATCTCAGCCCTAGTTCATTGATGCCCTGCAGAAATGTAGGACAAGTAGTATCAGATATTCCACCACTCAGTAATCCAGATTCTGAGTAATCCAGAATATCTGATACTGCTTGTACAATCTCCTGATTTGGAGCCCAAGTTTTTAGTCATTCTGTGGGTCAAACTATATACATCTGCAGACCAGATGTGGCCCATGGGCTGCTGGGCTGTAACCCCTGATCTAAATGCTGCCTGGATTTGACTCTTCAAAAGCTAACTCCAGCCAGCATAGTCAATCTTGTTCTTCACTACATACCAAAGCAAACCCTTCACTCTCACTGAGCCTCCTCCATGCACCATGTCGGCCTGTACCCATAGGCTTTGCTCATCTGCAATGTGCACTCCACAGCTTTTAAACTCTACTCATCCTTTAGGGCCATGCTCAAAATCCACTTACTGCATGATCTTTCTTCTAATGGCCCCGGCCCTATCCCTTCCAGGTAAGTTCGGCATCTCTCATAATGTCTAGAATACCACACAGTGATGGTAAGACTGAAACATAGTTCTTTTTTTCAAGAGAGAAATCAAAACACATATAGAATAGATCCCTCGCTTAGATGACCATGTGTGTCCCCCAAAGAAGAGTGCACACTGGAAATTTTTACTCACCTTTTGTGAAGAAGAAATCACCTAGTGAAAATTTTAAATGGAACAGCAAAGCAATGACAAGCACCTTTTTTTTTGTTACACTGATCCAGGTATCTCTAAAGAATTATATACCAACCACAAATCCTTTGTGGAAAATGGCACAGTATTAAAAAATAAAAGATTATAAATTTAAATAAATTCAGGTTTTGGATTTTTGGGTTTATAGAACTCAAAATTCTTTTAACAAATTTGACTCAAGCTTTCTCAAGCATTTACCTTTCTGCTAAGAATGAAAATGCATCAGAAGTTTATTTTAAAATAGAATATCGGCTTTCCTAGTATTCTATGTATGACTGTTATCCTTTAAGAAATAAAACCAGCTTTGCGCAGGCCTCCCTTAAACTGAAATTCTAGAGGGTGATGCGCAATCTGTGAGTTAAACATTAATGAGCTAATGAAATCACAGAATCATAAGTAATTGTGATATTTCTGGATAATTCATGCCATAAAACCACTGCTATCTCAATTACCTGAGTATTTCAGCAAAATACTTTTTGGTCCAAATCATTAGGTAATTCAGAAAGTGCTTCCTATAGTCCATCCACGAGAGAAAGCCAGTCATTTGCCATCACTAGCCAAACATTTCTGCCCACTCTTGATGTACATACAGAGGTACTCATCAATACCGTTACAAATCCCAGAATTCATTAAGTCTTTTCATAGTCACTTTCACCCACATACTTGCATACCTGCTTTATATTGGGGTGCATATATACAAACAAGCTTTTCTAGATAAACAAAGATATAAGGAATATAAGGGATATAAGGAATGTGTGGGATTTCTTGGAAGTGGCTCTTGAATTAGAGAGGTATTTGAGAAAAAGTAGTAGAAAAAGAGTGATAAGAAAGTAAGTTCTATGAACAAACTGAATTATCTGAATTATCATCTAGATAATTCTTTATTTCAATGTGAATAGAAGAGACTTAAAGTGTTTTTTATCTAAGTTTTTCTGTTAAGTAATGGAGATAGCTCAGGGCCAAAAGAATTGAAAGTGGTTATTTCAATGATATCACATGGTTTAAAAATATTCAAATGAGTCTGAATTTTCTTCCCATATCCTCCTTTTGTCAGAAAAAAAAAAAAAATCCTTACTCTCTTGATAATTGGAGAAATCTCACATTCAATTATACAATGTCCAAGAAAATCTGTGAAACTTTAATCATGTATTATTTTCATAGCGTTCTGAAGCTGAAATTGAGAGAGAATGTGTGGCATCACTGTCGTCATCATCATCATCATCAACAGAACTACAACTTTGAGGAAGAAGAGTACTAAGAGAAACCGGAAATGAACTCTATTTAAGAATAATGCGTACAATTCAATGGTATCAGTTTAATTTTAACAATATATTTAATTCAAGTCCAATTCATGTAATCAGTATTAAGAGTGTGTTTTACCATTCATCTTTAAAATCTTCAAATGAATAAATCTCAGTAAATTATTCTTAAAAGATCTGTCCAAGCATGATCTTGACTCTTAATAGTAAAACCATATTTTAAGATGGAAAAATAATCATTATGAAGCACAGAGAGCTTTCAATCATTTCTTTGAAAATATATCTTGATATAATAGCAACCATTCATCATAATACAAAACAGAAAGAAGATTAATTTACTGTGGCATAGAAAGTCCTGCCAATTCCTAAGTGTCCTAAATAGTTTCTCTGAGATTTTTTACATTTTTTCAGGCCTCAAGGAAAACCAAAGCCCCGCCTCCAGGTTTGGTAGCAAACAAACTCTGCTTCTCTGGTGCTAAGCTTCCATCACTCCTCTGGTAATAAGCTTTGTGCACATTGGCTAGGAAGCCGGGCAGCTTGTCCGCAGGTACTATTGATACTGCGCAGCCTCCCCATCCTGCTCCAGTAAGTCGTGACCCTTGAGCCCCCAACTTCCTAAAACAATGAGAAAAAAAAATATTAGAACCTGTAAATGAAAATGCAACTGATTTGCTTGATGTTTGTAGAACACATAGCCTATCTAAGTTCTAAGAAGAAAATACATGAGGGGTTTTTAGGTGTCATCAAACATTTTAGGACATTAAGACATTTATACTGTTTCAGAGAGTGATTTGGAATTTTTTCATTGTATCTAAATCTAGTCCCTGGTTTTGACTCCAAGTAGTAAGTCAACAGTACTCCTCCCATTTCATGACTAGCAATAACCCACTGTAATACTGATTCCATACAGTAGCCACTTGAAGAGTTGTATAGCAAGCTTACAGGTAAATCAGGAAGGAGGTGTTAAAATAAAACAGGCAATGGTAAAAGAAATGTAGGCAACCCTGAATCAGAAGGTCACTCCAAATGAGGGCAAATCAAAATTTAAAATGTACAGTCTTATACAAGGTTTCCCCAGTGGCTATTTCAGCTGCATTCTTAAGTCCGGGCTATTTCACAAAGAAGAATCAGTCCCCTAGAACAGATAGCCTAGTTCACTGAATAAACTTATCAACAAAAAGCTTGTTATTAAACTCCAGGTTGGGTGGGTGATTGGTTGACTCTCTAATGGAAAATTAAGCAAACCTTTCCACAAAGAGGATGGCAGTCCCTAGAGTTCCACACCACCTTCCCTGTGCCTTCTGGAGCTGGTCTGATTACTGGACTCAGAATTTGACATCAGATGAGATGCATCTGATTGGGATGGCAACAACTATATAAAGGACCACACAGTAAGAGTTAATTTTAGTTACTGTAAACCAGGCACAGTTTCAAACCTAAGATTTTAACCAAAGTGAAAGACCCTATCACAATGTACACAGATCACTTAGCTTTAAAAGATGCAATTTATCCTGACAAGAAAGTTAACATGTACTTATAATTAATTCTTCTTAATAAAATCCACTCCAAATTATTAGTGGATTAAAGGCTCTATGATTAATTTAGTACAATTTTGTCTCTTTTTTTCAATCTAAATGAGATACTTTACTTCCTGGACATATCAATAGAATACTACCTCTACCCTAGAACATCAGAATTACTGCATGTCAGTAATTGATTTTCCCATCAATGATTCTTCTCAGTTGATTTCTTTTTATCACCTGCTTTATTATATATATTAAAATATGCTTTTCAAATGAAAATAGGTATTTAAGAAAGAAAAAAATGCTTACAAACAAATGAACATCACTGATCTTCTCCTATCCCTTAAACATTCAGCTTATGGCCCAGTAGCTGAACTAAGCCTGAAATCCCATCATCCAGGCTAAAAAATTTCTCTGACCTTGGGATCCTTGGATTATTCTAAATTCCTAGGTTGGCAAAGAGCCTGTTTGCAGTTTGTTGGATTTAAAAAAAATGGTTGCCATATGCAGTCACATCAAACTCTTACTGTGGAAAACTAAGGTGTCACTCAAGTGTCTCTGGAAGACGCTAAAATATGGGCATTAAAGCCAGCCATGACATAGTCTACCTTCTTATTTGATTTTCTAAGTTCCAAAATATGCCATTTTGCTGCATTCAAGTTATCAAGTCTTTAAGGGTCCTCAGTCCAACTTCTAAAAGGCATATTTTATTATACTTTCTCATTTGAACAGTTTTTGAAAGCTGTGGTTTTTCAAAATTGAACCTAAAGCAAACTGAGAGTATTGTTTTTAATCTGGCTGTAAAACCTACAGGAATTGGGCCCGAGGTCTATTTTCCTGAGACTTTTACCAGTTTCCAGGGAGCAGAAGCTGGAAGTCTTTGTAGGTCAAGATATTCAATACTGAGTCTCCAGAGCTGCTCCGTCACCACCCTGCCTGCTACAGATGAAAATGGACTGAACTGCATCCATCACATGGTTTGAAATCACCAGGGCTCAAATTTCCCAAATCAAGAATGGTAAGTGCTATTATAAATAGCCTTCTGCCCTCGAGTCAGTGGCACATCTGATCACAAGTCAGGGCTGCCCCAGCAGCTGGTCAGCAGCCTGCCAAGCTACATACACTTACAAAGGCAGAAAGGTCTGTCTGCAGTGTTCCCTGCTAGTACTTAATAGGCCCTTTGGCATATGCCATAGAAATTCTGAGAAGACCAAAAGTTAGGAGACCACTATACACTTTAAATAAAGAAAGAAAAGTAAGTGAACCAAGGGTGTTTAGTGAACTTTTCATGTTTGTGCCTTTTTCTGGAAGAACAAGAAAACATTAAAGATTTATCTTCCAAGCTATTGCACATCAGAGAGGCAATACAAGAATTATAGAACCCAAAACCCTAAAATCCCTCAGATCCCACTTTGATAACTGTGATGACTGGATTGGGAATAATGTGGAAGGGTTTGTTAAAGCAACAAAGGCAGCCTCTGCTTTATAAAGCATGATGGCAAAGGCTAGGGCAGATGAGGGATGGAGATGATGAGGAATGTTCTCTTTGATCCTTGTGTATTCACAGAATTAACTGTCCAGGCACCCAATATAGCCAAAGTCAAATTTCCTACTTTTAAGTGAACTAATTCGACCATAAAGCGCGAAGTTGCAAGATACAAAGCAATGGAGAGGGTGGGGAGGAGATCCAGAGAGACCCAACTGCACTACACACTTGAGAAAGATGGAAGGTAAGAAATTATGCCTTGTATTTAAATTCTGTGTCATTTCTTTCTAAATAAGTAAATATATATTATACAAATGGATATGAAATAAATTATTTCAGGAAATCTTGAATTTAGGAACAGGTCACATCTATCTCTCTGAACCTAGCCCAGCACAATTCTAGGAATTTCATAGGTTCTAATAAATGGCTGCTGGACTACAATATTTCCCTTAAAATATTTTTAAAAATTATATGTAATATAAGCAGTCAGCAGTGTATTTTTTACTTGGGAAGACTTCTAGCTTCTGCTCTCTGGAAATGGCAAGAATCACAGGTAAGGGACCTTCTAGCAGTTTCTATGATTTCTATAGCCAGGTTAGACACTGTACCTTCAAATTGCTTTAGAGTCAAGAAACCACAGCCTTCAGTGTTCAAATGAGAAAGGATAAGAAAATATGCCCGCAAGTCTACTTTAGAAATGTAAGCCACTTAAAGGCCATTGAAGAGCAGTGGATTTGGGTCCTGCAAATGGCATATATATTCATAAGTCAAAGAGGCCCGAAGAGAAGTAAAGCCCTAAGGGGAGCTGAAATGGCTGGTTCCCTCTTTTTTTTTTTTTTTTTTTTTGAGAGGGTATGCAGATTAGCACTTAAGGTCATGGAGAAAGAGCATGTAACAATGGATTTGCACTTCATTCTTCCCCACTATGACCTTGTCAAAGAAAGGGTGCGAGAGGCTGAGCACCCTTACCATGGAATCCATTGCAGAAAGACTTCTGAGGAAGACAAAGTAAATTAACTTTTGTAATCATAGTTAATCCACTAAAATTTGTCATTCATCTCCCTTAATAGCTTGGGCAATAATGCAGCAATTAATCCTCTCTAATTTCAACAAGTGTCAAAATGAAAATAAAAGGCATTAACTATTTTGTCTTAAGTAAAACTAGGGAACCAATAGTGAATGAGCTGTCTCACATATAACTGACTTGGTTTCAAAACTGTTTTGTGTTCTCCAGTAAATTCTACTTAAAATTTAGTCATTTCTTTCTGTTAACATTTTGTTTGGTTACAAAAGATATTTTATAATTCAGCAAACATTATCTTTTTCCTTCATTATTATACTTCGTTTCATATAATTTAAGTTCTAACATTAATTTAATTAAAAAAAAAAAAGCCCCACTCTTTAAGTATAGTTTCTTTCCTCCTCCCTGCTCCTTTATTTACATTCTAAACTGATTTTCTCTTGAAGAGCAGGAAAAGGTTCAACCAAAAAAGAGAGCTAGCAATGGTGCTCTTTCCCAAGCCCCCTTCTCCCCACTTGAGTCACAAAGTTGTTCTATACATTGTCCTATATGCTAACTAGGAGATGCCTTTTTAATTCAGTCTAGTTCAGATCACTCTAAGATTTTCTGCTTGTGTATAGCACCTTAGGTATTCTAGGTATTCAAGTCCTTAATCTACTCATTCAATTAGTTGTCTTTTCATACAAATAGTTTCCAAGAAACCCTTCGGAAACACTAAAGGAATTTTGAAGTGCCATAAATGAACCAGGGAGGGTGATGTAAAGATTATATTTGGCAGTGCTCCTCCTTGAACCCATTTCAGCTTCCCTACTCTTCCCTCATTTGGGGAAGACAAGCAACCTGCTCAGGCTGCCCAGTCTTAGTCATGCCTTGCCTACTGATGTTAACATTTTTAATGGTGGCAGGGAATTGTGGGGGTGGTGGTGGTTTTTAAATAAAGCAGTACTTTGCCAGAGGTTGTGTCTGTGGCACCAGTGGCTCACACCAGGCCTTGTCAGGACCTTTTCCAGTATGTCCAACACGTTTTCTGCCTGACCCAGTGAGACAGTCACACGGTTTCAGAAAGAACTAGGGCTTATGAGTAGCTCCACTGTTCATTTATTTGAACCTTTCCCCATGTTACTACCTGCTACTCTTCCACCATCTGTCTTCCCCATCCTTTTTAACCATCCTTTATCCATCCTTTATCTTACTCCTACTAATTTCTGCATTCTTCTGAACCCCTCCTTCTTCCCTCATTGCTTCTCAGACATCTTCACAAGAGAAAGTCACAGCTTTTGAAAGTGGACAGTAGACTGCAATTTCACATGGTACGCAGATACCCATGTGAAAATATGTATTGACTGAAGGAGGGAATGGCATCAATGTCTGCATCAGCTTAACTCCCCTGGGGCTATCCTCCTCTGAGGTTGCTCTGCCACTTAGGACCTTTCAGTAAATTGCAACCAACTGAAACATTTGAAGAATATTATCTGCTGGTCACAGTGACAGAAAAGAAAAAATTAATTGTCTAAGAAGCTTTAAGGACCAGACAACTATTCTGGCCAATATCTTCAATAAGCCAGAAGATAATCTTTCAATATGGAAAAGTTGAACCCTTTATAGTTATGGAATAAGTAGAAAATAACTTTCATACTTAGCAATTGTCCAAACAAAACAATCATGAAAAAGTGATGGAGCTCCTAAGTTTTTCACAGAGCTGAATTTTTCTCAGAAAATTAATACAGCAAATGAAAATGAAACACTTTATCTGCCATTAAGAAAGGATTTTCCAAAAACAAATAAAATGAAAAGATAAATAAGAGGTACTCTTCCAAACCCCTATAAGACATAGCCACAAACTTTTCCACTAGAGCCACATTTTTTAAATGTATAGATCTAGAGACTGCTAGAACAGAAAAAGCCAATGAAGATCACAAAGTGAAGCAACAGTTCCAACTCACAGAGCGCAGAATGAAAAGAGAGCCAGAATCCAACCTTCCTAACTTCCAGCCCACTTTTTATCCTACTCTACACATTACGTTCCTGCTCAACATGACTTTGCTTAATGTTCAAAGGCTGGAGACTATGACAACAAAGGCCTCCATCATAAAGCTTCAAAGCTAGGAGATAAAAATAGGTTACAAACACACACATACACACACATATATATGACTGACATTTGAGTGTAATCACATCTCAGTATAACCCAAGGGGAGAGGCAGGTGTGGGAAAATCACTGGATTGGGAGCCAAGTTTTCCAGTGAACTCATTATGTGAAACTTACTCAAATTATTTAATCTCTTAGTGCCTTCTTGGATCTCTAAGACCCCTTCCTGATCTAATATTTGATAGTACTCTAAGATAACTCTAACCCACAATGGTGAAGAGTGCTTTTCAAAAATGTGGCTTTTAGAGGCACAAGGAAAGTTTCTCAGGGCAAAAACCCACCAGTCGTCTTGATTTCTCTCTTCTACCCACACAGCAAAAAAGTCTTCCTTCCAAGCATATTTGGCATAGAATTGCCTAGCATTTCCATTGCCCCTTTTCTCTTCTCAAAGCCAGAAGCCTTCCAATGACCTACACAGCCTATGTGGTATGGCTGCCCACTTCCTCCCTTACTTCATCTACTACCTCTCCTTCCTTCCTGGCCCTCTGCCATGCTGAGCTTGCTCAGCCTCACACCTGACAGCCAAGTATCCACCTCAGGGCCTGTGCACTTGCTGTTCTCATTTATTCACCTCCTTCAGGTCTCTGCTCAAATATCTCTTCCTCAGAGTGACCTTCTTCAACCACTCCATAGAAAGAGTACCCACCTAACCCTGTAGTCTCTACTCCTTCTCACTTTTTTCCATAGCACTTATCACTACCATTCAAATTATTTTTAATGGTCATTTCTCTCTTTCACTACGAGAAGGTAAGCTCCATGAGAACAAGTACAGGTTGACCATTCTAGGAAGAGAAAGTTCATTTGAGAATTCCAGGAAGCTGGCAAATGCCCTTCTGCAGTTTTTCAGGTGGGATTCAAACCATCCCACTTCCTTCCAGGCAAAGACATTTCTTCCTGATCTGTGCACAAATAATTCCACTTCCTCTTATTTCCAGAACTGAACAATATTTGTCCCTTCCATATAGTAGGCCCTTGATATTTTCAGAAAAGGGTACTTAAAATGAAACAAGCTGGGGAAGGCTTTTGGCAATCAGTGAGCAAACATGTCAGCAGAGCGATCTTCATCAATGCTGTGTTCAAGTCTTTTGACAAGTTGGGTTACCCAGGCCATTTGTGATCACTGGAGTTACTTGGTTTAAACTTCTCAGGCGGGGAGTGTGGCAATGACTGAGGCAAGCCACAAGTGCCAAGTGGTTAATTACATTTCTGTTACTAATTGTAGTGTGGCATTGTGTTCTCACAGTGAAGTAACATCTAGCGTTTGAGAGCTCTCCCAGTTTCAGTTCTCCCCGGGTCACTGAGCTCCTTCCTGGGTAAGACAACTAACTCTATTATCTCCATTCTTTCACAATTTTAGGGAAGCTGTGTTTAGGTTTGTGAAAGAGTTGTCCTCCTTACATTTCTGCCTCAATTAACCATGTATCACCTAGGCTTTCTTCAGCCCTTATTTCCTCAAAATGCCTAAACTTAACCTGGAAAGCAGGAAATGCTGGCTTTCTGGGTGATTCCTTCAGCAATCTCCCCACACACTCCTATCAAGTTTGAGATCCTCTGTCAGTTTTCTCCCTTCTTCTGAGTAGAACTACTAAACTTAACTAGGACACTGGACAGGAGTTTCTGGCAGAGCAGCAGTATAATAAAACATATCATGAGAAAGTTAACAGGGCCCAGCTCTGAGCAAAGTTACCATCCTGAAAGGCCTAATCATCCAAAGATGGAAAGGTCTTTCCCATGATGTAAAGAGCTGACTCCAAACTGACTCCAAACCTAGAGCCCCATAAAATCATGGAGCCAGGTATCAAATCTTTCATCCTACAGGTATTTAGAAGGGAACAAGTTTAGCTCTATATCATCGGAGACCCCTCATATAGGAAGTGGGGAACAATCTTCATTCCCATAGATTACGAAATGTTGCATCTTTTTCCATTTATTTAAACAATATTATTTGATGGCATCCCCTGGCCCCCACCAGGCTGCCTCACCGACAGATGTCCACCAGCTGGTCCAGCTCAGGGCAGCTGCACTCATACATGTCCCGGCAGCTCATGTGGCTCTGGTTCATCAACTCTCCCAGCAGCTGGACCATGTTTTCAGGTGCTTCTTCACATATCTTCTTAAACTGGAGCACTCGCGCAGCCTCGCTGTACACATGCTTTGCCCGCTGATAGAGTTTGAAGATAAGCACTGACGAAGGAAGGGGATGGGAGGGAGGTTGGGAATAGTTACTGGACAACCCAGTATAAAGAAAAATACACTTTTGAAGACTTTCATTTCTGTTTTCATTATCAATATCTTAAACTGTAATAGGTCTCTCTTTCACTGAAAGGATTCTTTCCATTGAAATGTGTCTATTTGCAAGTCAGTTTTACTTTTTTCTTGATACTGAATAAAATTTTGTAACGATATTTCCTTCACTTCACTCAACACACATGTGCATACACTTATGTGCAATCTAATCCATCCCAAATGAAGAGAGACGTAACATGTATTGAGTACACCCTACACACCAGACACTTTGAAAGTACTACTTTGTGTAGGCCGGGTGTGGTAGCTCACATCTGTAAACCCAGCACTTTGGGAGGCCGAGGCGGGTGGATCACCTGCGGTCAGGAGTTCAAGACCAGCCTGACCAACACGGTGAAAACCCGTCTCTACTAAAAATACAAAAATTACCTGGGCATGGTGGTGGGTGCCTGTAATCCCAGCTATTTGGGAGGCTGAGGCAGGAGAATTGCTTGAACCTGGGAGGCAGAGGTTGCAGTAAGCCGAGATCACGCCATTGCATTCCAACCTGGGTGACAGAGCAAGACTCCATCTCGAAAAAAAAGTACTACCTCGTATAGTTCTCATCACAGCACTGAGGGATGTACAGTATGATCCCTGTTAACAGAAAGTAGGAGGCTCAATGGAGTGAAGTGACATGCTTAAGGTCACACATCCAGAACGTGGTGGAAGCCAAATAGATCAGGGATGTCTGACCCTACAGCCATGTTCTTTCCACTCTGCCCCAATAGAAAGGACCCCTGGAAATTCTTAACAGTGGCAATTTTTTAATAAAAATAATATATGTCCCAGATAAACACAATTATTTATATGGGATATATAATATTTATATATGTACCTATATATGTGTGTGTTTGTGTGTATATATATATATATACACTGCAGCATTATTTATCATAGAAGAAAGTAAGAAACAACTCAAGTATCTAATAACAGAGGACTTTAAAAAATTATGCTATATTCATTTTTGAGATATTACTGCTATCAAAACTCAGATTCTAAAGCAATTTGATATATAGGAAATTATTCATTATTAAGTGAAAAAACAACCTGCAAAACTATATGTACAACTGATACTAATTTTCCATACACACATACATATATTTATGTACATTTTAATTTTAAAAACTGATAGGAAAGCACCAAAATGTTAATAGTAGTTATCTCTGTGGTCCATTATGGGTGCTTTTATTTTCCTTTTGACACATATATGTATTTTCCAGATTACCCACAATGAATCTGTAATTTCAGCTACAGAAATATGGCCTACTGCAATGGCTATGTCTATAATGCTTACACATTCCTGTGAATAACAACTTAGACTTCCTTACCATTTTCACCCATATTGAACAGTGGCTTAGCTGGTGTGGTGGGTCTGGGAAAATTTTGGAATATTTATGAAAATTCCCAGGCCTAGGGGAAAGAGACAGGGCTGAAAATCAAAAAGTTTATAATTTATTTATTTTTTTAATTTTACTTAATTTAATTTTTAATTTTTAATTACTACTTAATTTTTAATTTTACTGTAGATAAACACATGCCATGATGGTTTGCTGCACCCATCAACTCGTCATCTCTATTAGGTATTTCTCCTAATGCTATCCCTCCCGTACCTCCCAACCACCGACAGGCCCCAGTGTGTGATGTTCCCCTCCCTGTGTCCATGTGTCCATTGTTCAGCTCCTACTTATGAGTGAGAACATGCGGTGTTTGGTTTTCTGTTCCTGTGTTAGTTTGCTGAGAATGATAGTTTCCAGCTTCATCCACGTCCCTGTAAAGGACATGAACTCATCCTTTTTTATGGCTGCATAGTATTCCATGGTGTATATGTGCCACATTTTCTTTATCCAATTTATCATTGATGGACATTTGGATTGGTTCCAAGTCTTTGCTATTGTGAATACTGCCACAATAAACATACATGTGCATGTGTCTTTATAATAGAATGATGTATAGTCCTTTGGGTATATACCCAGTAATGAGATTGCTGGGTGAAATGGTATTTCTAGTTCAAGATCCTTGAGGAACTGCCACACTGTCTTCCACAATGGTTGAACTAATTTACACTCCCAACAACAGTGTAAAAATGTTCCTATTTCTCCACATCCTCTCCAGCATCTGTTGCTTCCTGACTTTTTAATAATTGCCTTTCTAACTGGTGTCAGATGGCATCTCATTGTGGTTTTGATTTGCATTTCTCTAATGACCAGTGATGATGAGCTTTTTTTCACATGTTTGTTGGCCACCTAAATGTCTTCTTTTGAGAAGTGTCTGTTCACATCAAAAAGTCTGTAATTTCTTAACAGCTCTGTGACAACTAGCTATATACAAATTGCTACCTTTATAATACTCTATTTCCTCACCTCTAAAATGAGGTTGAGAGTCACTTCTCAGGATCCTTCCAGCCCTAACATTTTATAATTCTATGAAGGGCTTCTTCCAAGAGTATCTGTCCTTCAACATTCCGCCCATATTGTTATACTTTATAAAGATGCTGTTACTAGTAGCTTTTGTTTACATCCCCAGTTCTACTCTCTGCCCTTTTCCACCCTACTATCAGCCCCAAAGGCTGACCTGTATAGACTACACCAGTGAGTCCCCTGCCATCTAGATTTGAGAGCAGGAAAAGATCAGCAACAGATGGGAGGGAAAAGAGTGAGGAGGATTTATCCCCTGGCTCTTCCCTTGCAGAGCCATTTAGAGCTGGCACTGTCCCTTCACTGAAGGACACTGAACATCCTTCAAAATCTCCTTTTCTCCATGACTCTCTCCTCCTGGGTCTGCCTCTAGGTTCCTCTCCCCTAAACTATGATTACTTTTACGGAAGTACTTTTACATTTCTACTAATGAACCAATAAATCTTATTAAAGTTTCAGGTTTCATTTTTTCCCCTCCACAGCACTGTCTTTATAACTGTTATTTTCTTAGATAACCACTATATCATTATCACACCTAACAAAATTACCAGTGGTTCCTTAATATTGCCTCATATTGAGTCCATATTTAAATTTTCCCAATTGTCCACCAGTTCAAATTTCAATTGGTTTACACCAAGATCCAAACAAATTCCACACATTATATTCAGTTGTTATGTCTAATAAGTCTGTTTTAGTCTATCAAGAATTTAGTAGTTTAGTGATTTTTGATACTCTGGATTTGCAATATCCTATCCAAGCATATTTTAGGGCCATATCCTATAATGAAACTCAATACATTCCATTAGGGAGAGTACACTTTGGTTTTCCTTTAGGATTACATACTTCTTTAGGATTAAATATTTTCTTTTAGGATTAAATATTTTAAAAATAGAAACTATCCAGAGAGATGTTTTCTATTAAACCCAGGACTGGTGCTTTGATTTTGACAAAAAACATTCACAAGACACCCACCAGACTACCGGAACTTCACAATCCTGGCACCTTCCTGAATCTGTTCACTTCTTGCAGAGGAAGTGTTTCACAGTAGGACTTCTGAATACCAGTGTCTAACGAGGACTCTTGCTGGGCATTCTGAAGGTGCATGAGAGATTGCCATGGCTTGCAATCTCCTGAATGGTAGTAACTCAGACAACAAGGGAAAGGGCAGAAAGGGCATCTGTTTTCAATTGTGAAATAAAAATCCTGCCAAAAGCTACAACAGATTTGGAGACCACCCTTTGGGTGGGAAAGCAGTTCTGTGTTGGCTGAATGTCACAAATGCTCTCTGGATTCAGGGTTCTGGCTTGTTACGTATTGGCAACTCATCAGGTCTCTGTTATACAGATATCAAAAAAATGCAAGAAAATCTGAAGCTTTATCCATAACAGCTTTCTTCCTTGTCCAGCTAACATGATAGCCGGATGTTCCAGCTGTCTATAAGCTCTTGTAATCATTGGGAGCAATTATTACATTAAAGGATGAAGGAAGCTGTTTCTTACTATGTTCATTGTATGCATGATTACTTTCAAGGCAAATTCAATTTAAGAATATAACACTAGATGATACTTTCCTCCAATATTATTAATGGCCTATCCTAGTCATGAGAAATCCAAAGCTACAAAGCGGGATGCACTGCATAGTCTTCAGAACACTGATTTTCTCCAATGTGAATCTTACATAATCACTGAATTTAGTCATGAAATCACGGCACAAATTCTGAAATCTAAATGTTCATGGCCATATATACTTAAACTACAAAATACATATTTCATTTTGTTGCTAGTAATTTTGACTTGTATAATAAATTCTATTGGCTAAATTCCTTCTGACTGGCCTCCTAGCTGTGCTTCCAGCATACCACGTGGCTCCTGCGATAGGTCTGTGGCAGTAGCTGTTTTGTTGTCCTGAAATGCTCTTCCCCATGATCTTCACATGGCTGGTTCCTTCTTGTGGTTCAAGACTCAGATGTCACAGCTTTCAAGAGACTCAACTCCAATCTGGAGTAGCCCCCACCAGACATATTTTCTCCATTCTGTTTTATGCTCCCAACACCTATCTCCATCCAGTATTTTCCTGTGTGTTCATTTGTTCATTGGTTTGTGGTTGTCTCCCACCAATGTCTAATTTCTTCACAACTATCTCTAGCAGCTAAAATAGGATCTGGCACTTAGTAGGGGTTCAATAAATGTTTATTGAATGAATGATTCCGATCCTTCTCCTTGTAACAAAACTGCACTGAAACTAGGCTAAATAAACAGTAGTGAAACAAGTACAATACAGAATATAAAGGAGACATACTATTTTGACAATTTATACTCACTAGCATCCTCACCACAAAGTGGGGAAAGTTTGCTAAAATAAAGTTTGGAAACAATTAGTAAACTTCAGTGTCCAAAGTATACCCTAATACTCATTATCACAGATGACTGAGAATTGTTTATGTTGTATTTTGCTTTATAGATATGAGAGAAAAAGAGATTTCTA